TCCTCGAAAACGCAAGACGCCGATGGCGCGTAAATCATTTCGACGGTGCTCGCGATTATTATTTACGATGCGACTCGTACAGCAAGATACATTATTTATTTACTCATTCGCTCGCATGACACTATAATATCGTACGGAAGATTAAATTCCTCCTGAGAACCTTGAGGAACATTTCTCTGAAGGAGGGGAAGATTTATGGCCCCTCGAGGTTCACCAGGAATTCTCTCCCTTAGCGTGAATTCGTGAAACACATGTATATTTTGTAATTTGTAAACATTCCATTTTTCCGTCCTAAGGAAAAATTACATGACCAATGCTCGATTCGGGAAGGTTTCCGATCGGAATCGTTCGCTTATCCCTTAGGAAACCTAATCGAAATTTAGGGAATAATTGAGCGATTCCGATCGAAAACCTTTCCGAGCATTTCCATAATATTTCCATAATAAGTGCTCGGGAACACCGAGACGGAATACCCGACGGACGTGAATCCTTTGGATCATTCGTGCGCCGATGGCATTACTTCGACGTATTCAAGATTATTATCCACGATGCGACTTTACAGTAAACTATTATATATTTATTCATTCGCTCTCATAACACATCCTGAGTCGAGATATCGATCTTACACCAAGTTTACTTGGTCCCACTTAAGTTCTTAAGCAAAGAAACCGGAAATAACCTTCCCATTAGCAGCATCCAAGGAGCACAATAGAAAACCTTCGAAGACATAACGTAGAACTGACATTTCGACTCCCATAAAATCGCGTAAAACATTAATCCCCCACCCGAGAGCCTCTTCCTTTCCCGAGCAAAATTGTTGTGGTCTAAAGTCAACAACACCGAAGAATACTTTATCGGCTGATATCCAGAAATCTGAGGAACGGGGGCACCGATACGCCCAGGAATATCTGACGGGCGTCGCGTGCGTGGGTGAGAGCGCGTCTGTCAAGCTCACGTGGGCTTTCGTCGGCGCGACCATGAAGAGCTCGGCGCGGATTCATCGAGAGACAGACAGAGAGAGAGAGAGAGAGGAGCAAGAAGAGCAGCAGCTGTTAAGCCGGGGTCCATTCGGAGGCGTTGTGTCGGTCGAGAGCAAGCACGGAAATAGACACGCACCACATGGCGGGGCCTCTCTTTCTCTCTCTCCTCGGCCCGTCAGTACGCGTCCGGCCGGCCGTACGCATCCGACCGTCGCGGCGCGTCCCTTCAGCGCTCTTTCGTCGTGGTCATCGGCACTTTCTGCGCCTGACTTTTCCCTCGGTCTTCTTCGTCGGCACTCGAGTAGCGAAAATCCCATATTTGCAAAACAGGCGCGCGCGCCTCGGGACATCGAAGTCGAGGGAAAATCGCGCGATTGCGAGAGATCTCAGGAAGTGACTTCAACGCGGGATACGGGTCGCACGTGGCCGCTGTCGAAGCTCAGCTCCCGAAAGCGGAAATGAAAGTATTAGCATAGGGGTCGCGCATTTTTATCGCGATATTTCCAGCCTCAATTTGCAATTCCGCGGTCTTCCCGAGGCGGATGTGGAGATTTCGCTGAGCTGCCCCCGATATCGGCTCAACGGGTGTTAACGATTCTCACGGAGAGTTGATTATAATTAATTTATATCGCTGAGCGGGACGCGATAATTTCGACGACGAGCGTCGGAGCGACATCGCCGAGCGAAGAAGAGCCCGAAGAAGAAGAGGAAGACCGGGCACTTTCATAACGTGCGCGAGAATACACGTCGCGGGTAACATATGAGGAGGCTCGACGAGGCCCATGTGCGCGGGTGTGTGCGTGAGAGCGGATAAAAACGTCGCTTCGCGATCTCGGCAAAAGCTCGGAGCTCGCACGGAGCTGCCGGCCGGAAGTGTTCACCGAGGCCGAGTGGTGCCCCCGAAGATGTGACTCTGTGAGATTCGTGAATTCGAGAAGTCAGCGCAAGCAGCGAGGAGGACGGATTCTAGAAGCGCCGCTATTCGTACGTTTAGGCAGAAGAGGGAAAAAGGCAGAGCTTTTCTTCGGAAAGTTCCTTCATCAGGTAGAAGAGCAGAGAGGGCGGTTTTTTTTCCCCCTGAAAGTTCCTTCAGAGAAAGGAATCCCAGTGACTCGACGTATTCGCGAACGGCCGCTTCGACCGAGCGAAGGTGTGCGTCTTCAATCGTCGGATTGCCTCTGGGAGTGTTAATCCTTTTTACAATTCGACGATTTTACAGTTGACGTGATAATAATTCGCCAAGTTCTCTCAAGGGGAGAAGCTCAATCGACAGCCGCGCGATGAATTGAACGAAAAGACCGTCCGCTCGGTCTGGACGACGAGGAACTGATGAACGATTGTTGCGGCGAGCGGTAGGCGATATACCTCGATATACTCCCTCCATCGGGAATCGATAATAAATCGGAAGTTCGCGGAAGCTGCACGAAGAGAAGAGACATGGCTTCTTGCCACCCGACGTCTGCCGTCCAACGTTTGCCGATGCAGGACTCGAGTCGAATCGGCCACGGGGCGATCAGCGGGAGGAGTGCTCAGAATCCTCATCAAGTTACCTCTTCGACTTATTCGCCGCAAATGGTCAATTGGTTTTATATCGCCATCGGCGAGCCAAATTCACCGCAGTCGTCCGAGCAGGTAAGTAGTTACCTTCACTAATTATGTGAGAGAATCTTCTCGGTAAAAGTTCGCAATACTCAGGCAGAACAAATGTCTAAAAGATGTTTTAAAGGTATCTAAAAGACGTTCTATTTTTTTTTAGATATCTTCTTTCGGATGTTTTTAAGAGGTCTTTTAGAAATTTCCCCGATGCAAGTATTTTGCTCTTGAAAATATAATGAGTTTACTGAAACGTATTTGAAGTTCTCTTTCAATTAACTTCGTTTCATTATTATTCTCTATCAATATTTCAGTAAAAATTCAGTTTTT